TGTGTGTGCTCTCTCTCTCTCTCAATAAAATAAAAAAATCTTAAAAAAAAAAAAAACTAACATTTGTTGGAAGGCTCTCCCCTATCCCTTAGAATTAAAGAAAACATCAATGACTTTCAGAGTATAAAGTTAGGGGCATTAATTTTAAAAAGTTGTATTTTTATATAACTAAATAAATGCCACGTGGACACAAATGTCCTCTTGCCAAGAATCTCTTTAGGGTCTGCCATGAGCCAAACAACTAAGGTTCACTACCTATGGCCAAGGAAAAAGAAACATAACATTGACCTTCTTCTGTGGCATTTACCCTGCATATAACCCCAAATGTGAACTAGAGTCCCTGTCCATTTTTCAGGTTTTCGTTAGAGAAGGTATCTCTATTGCTACTATCTTTAGTAATGGTGGTGAAAAGCAATGGCTCTTATAGGACTTAAAAACTAAAGATGGGATATTATATTTTTAGAAAATAATAAACATATTTGATAAATGTTAAGTGTTCATCAATGGCAGGAACTTCCAAAAACAACTGTATTTATCCATATTTGTAACAGCAGAAAATTGCCATCTATGAATGGCAAGGGTTCATATTATAAAGCCACAGAAGCGGTCTTTAAATGGAGGAAAGCTTTTATTAACTTAAATAATATGCCATTTAAACAGTAAAAGTGGGATAAGTTTGAAGTAAAAATAACTCATTTCCTTGCTTCTTTGTGGCCAGAATGTGAATCATGGTTTCAAAAGAGTTCTCGGGGTGGTTTTCTCACGTGCAGGGCATCCCCAGTGACTTCTCCCATGACAAACCCACAACACTCGTGAGAAACCCAGAGGGCCCAATATCTGTGCGCCAACTCCACTTCAGCTGTACTGGGATCAAGCTTCTTCAAAACATGGAAAAGCCACTCAACAGAGGGCAAATCGAGATGACTGGATCCATAGTAATGGAGAAAAAGCAGTGCATTTGTGACCTACTTGCTTCCTCTTAGGTCCATGCCTCATATTTAAAAACATTCTCAAAAGAAAAACCACTCTGTTTAAGTTTTAGCTCTCAGAACAGCAAAATAAAACTGTAGAGGTCTTCAGTTAAGATTTAGTTTTCTTTTCCCTAACGTCCTTTGGGTAGAGAAAGGGAGATGGTAGCAATATAATAGAAAATAGATAGGGAGAAAAGAATTTCAAAATGCCAAGTGAGGAGTAAAAGGCTACAGCTTTTGATCGCAGAGGTTATAAGGGCAGGCTTCTCGGTTCTGCAAAACTTGAGGCAAGAACAATCCCTCGCATACTCCGAAGGTGAGGTCTATTTAAGAAGTTGGGCTTATATGCTATGCTGGTTTATTCTGCTTCTGATTCCAGTGACAGCTCAAAGCAAGGACGGGTTCTTTGTTCTGCAACACGTGGCACTCAGACCAACAGCATCACAGAGGAGCTAGAAAAGCCGACTTCCAGGCGCAACCCCAGAGGTCCTGAATCAGAATCTGCATTCTGACAAGATGCCCAGGTGACTGGTTTGAGAAGCGCAGCTCCAGCGGACTTGGAATGAGGAGGTGGACAGCTAATCCCTTCCTACGGAGTGTGTCTGCCTCTCCACCGCAAGTAAATTCCCCACCATGTCCAGCAGTACAACTTCTATCAAACCTTGGAGGAAAAAATTTGAACCTTGGGTCTCTGTTCTGGTACTTACTAGCAAGTTACTGAACTTCTCTGAGCAACCTCTGTTTACCGCCCCCGCCCCAAAACAAACAAACAATTTTCCGGAGCTGTTATGAGAATTAGATGCTTGAGTAGTGTAAGAAAGCCCAGGAATGCGCCTGGCACAAGGTTGAAAACAACATCTGACTCAGTAAGGAAATATAGCATCTGCAAACATTGTTTTAACACCGAAAGAATAATGCTAATTCTCCCAAAGTTAGATGTGCATTTCATACAATTCCAACAAAAACCCCAACAGATATTTTTAATCATATAAAATAAGCTTAAAGTCCATAGGCAAAAAGAAACCTTAATGGAAACAAGAAAGGTGGGTGCTTTGAAATAATAGAGAAAATGAAAGAATATTTAAAATCCTAGAGAAAAATTCTATTAAAAAGAGCATATGAAACTTTGTTTAACTATTGTATAGTAACAACATAAATGAAATCAATGGGCAAACAGTAAGGCATACTATATGGTAAATATGAAATATTTAATGAATATGAATCATGAAATGAAATAATATACATGAAATATATATAGGTCTAAAGAAAATTATGTTGATGCTCAACTGTGGGGGGGGAAGGGAACAAAGTAACAGTGAAATATTACTTTAAACCTTTCCAATTGACAACAATTAAAAGGTGTTTGTACACCAACAAGATGACAACAAATATCTGTGTGCATATATAATGGAGTGTTATTTGTGTTCTTCCTAAGGAACAGATTCCCAGGACAGGAGTTCTGGGTCAGAGAAATGTAGCAGTGGTAGTGGTATTAATCACAAGAATAACAATTACTGCTGTTACTAACACAGGCATTCCTTGACAAAGCAATCCACTTCCTGATAATCTACTTGAGCATCATTACTGCAGTAAGAGTGGTAACGACCGCAAACACTACTATCTACTGTCACTACTACCACACGGAGAGCATCGTTAAATGCAACTGTTCAAGCACTATGCATATTATAACTCTAATCCTCCCAACAACTCTAAAAAACTTTCATCCCTCTTTCACAGACTAGGAAACTGAAGCATTAAATGTGTCTGGTCAGTGTAAGAACTATATAAAGATTAGCTACTTTGTTATTGTTGATATCTGGTACGCTCCAATGTAGCAATCCCACTCCTATGACTAAATGAGAAAAACAATTTAACAACAACAACAACAACAACAAAAATATATATATAGGGACTGTACATATAAATGTACATGAATGCATATATGTGGACAGATATGAGTAAATACATCTTTGTATGAAATAAAGGAAAATACAGAGACATCCATACGATGCGATTAACATGGATTATTTTACTGGAGGGAAAGTTGGCAGAAGAAAACTGAAGAAAGGGGGAAGGGATCTTAATAAATAAATATATCAGAACATGCACATAGAAAGTGAGAAAGTTGAAGTACAGGATAAAAACAAAGACATAACATTTTACATTCTTCAAAGATAAAACAAGCCCTGGTGGAATTGAAGGAATAAATTTTTGTTAAACAAATTCATTACTCAGAAGAGCAATACATTTGTTAAATAATTGGGTTTTCCCCCAACACATAATACAGATTATTAAGAAAATCCAAATCATCATTCTTTGGACAGCAACAACAAAAATCCTAGTAATTCCAAGATTGAGAATTCAGTAATTAGCCATGTAAAGGCACTATCTAGGAGCAAGAAGACTTAGTGGCGCTCCTGATACTGTCACCATTGGGCCATTTAACCTCTGGCCAGCCACTAACCTACACTTAGTTTTCTCATTCACAATGAATTTGTTGAAAGAAGTTCAACAAAGTCATCTTTAAATCTCCTTTTAGTTATAAAAATGTGATGATTCTAGAATCAAAAAGCATAAAGCAGAAAAGTGAAAAGCTAGTAAATACAAGTGATATTATACATTAAAAAAAAAAGAAAGTTCAAAATCTTAACCTTATGGCTAAGCAGATAATTGAATGACCCATTGAAAAATGTACATATTTATAATTAAAAACTGCAGTAAGATTGATTAGTGATTTTACGTTTCCAAGTGGTGAATTTAACTATTTGATGCTTATTCATTTTCATGTAGAGGAAAAAAATGATGCCAGTTTAGGTTATCTTTCAGATTACTCACTGAAGTAAACCTTAATTTGTCACTTTAAAATGGAGGCACCCGGGACGCCTGGGTGGCTCAGGTCATGATCCCAGCGTCCTGGGATCGAGTCCCACATTGGGCTCCTTGCTCGGCAGGGAGCCTGCTTCTCCCTCTGCCTCTGCCTGCCTCTCTGTCTGCCTGTGCTCGCTCGCTCTCTCTCCCTCTGTCTCTGACAAATAAATAAATAAAATCTTTAAAAAATATATAAAAAAAAATAAAATGGAGGCACCCATAGGAATTAATTCAAACCAAAATATCATCCTCTAGAGACCACAGTTACCTCTTATGAAAAGAGGCTGGCAAACGCTAGCCAGTCAGTCACATAAATAAATCACACATTAATATTTCTACTAGAAAATGATGAGTTATTAATAGAACACAAAATTGGCAAAAAATGATCTGCTTAAGTAGGACAGCTTCTCGAAGCATCAGTTTTAATTTTTATATTTTCCTCATAAGTTTCATAAATAATAATTTGATTATTAATAACATATAATGAAATTTATGCTTGGGCGCAAAGCATAGAAAATCACTAGCTCATACAGCATAAAGATTTCCATGAGCTTGTTAAATTTTATGTATTTTATTTCCTTAAATGGTTATGGGATTTTCCAAAAGCATACACAAAATTCCTTAAAACTTTGCCAACTTAGAAATAGTTGCATGAAACCACCTTTTCAGGCTGTATGGAATCTCCTAGAAAAATTTACCTGGTCCTTCGATAGGATACCTGTGTATGAATTCCTACAAAAACAGAGTAGGACTCCTTACCCCAACCAAATTTTATAGGCTAGTATGAGGTAAGGAAACAATTTATGGCTTGGACAGTTATCTGAAATTCCTGAAAACAAACAGTTCCCTAAGTAGTACCGCATAATTTTCTTATCTACAAGCACAAGCACGTGCATTTATTTATATCCCTAGATTAACTTCAAGTCTAATTTTACTGCCACCAGTATCCAGGCGTCCATTTATTTTTTTCTAATTACGAATGGCACTTGAGCTGGATCAAAGGCATTTTAAGGTCAAACTTGACTTCTCTGAAAAGTAGAGGGTGCGATCCTATGAAATTAATTAATGCTTAGCCATGCCCTTTGGCGCATTAAGTGGTGGCTGTAGGAAACCGAGTCCAGCCGTCCCCACCTGTTGGTGCAGAGGAACTGCTCGACTTACCCAAAAAAGCAGATTGAGGGCGTAGAGAAGGCAGCGCAGGCACTTCACGGAATCTTCTCTGGCCATTGTGAGCCCCGAAAGGGAGAAGCCCCATCCTTTCACCACATCCTACTCCCACCGGCCGAGTAGCAGCGATCTGCAAGGGCAGAGAGAACAGGGGACTTATCTCCGCGCTCCGCACCCCCAGCCCATCCCTCCTCTGCTCGCCCTCAGCCGGGTCCCGAGTCTGGTCCGAAGCCTAGGTCATTCGAGACATCGCTTCGTCGAAGATCATTTGTTAAAGTTGTAACTGTAACCTAAACTCGCCTAAAGTTCCAGACTGGCTTCGGATAACACCTGCTGAGAAGAGAAAAGACTGACTCCCGGATGAATGAAGGCACACAGTCAACTCCCGTTCTCAGGGGACGCGCGGCGGTGTCCTCTGCATTCTGATGAGACGCTCTTTAAAACCTCCCTCAGTCCACGCCCCTCCTCGGGGACAGCTCAGCTCAGAACTGTCCCCAAGGTTGGAAACCACACTATCCCCGGGAGACGTCACAGGCGCCGCCGGCGAGTCCGCGGGTGCAAGTGTCCCTCTCGTTAGGACAGCTCCTGGGTCCCCCAACTCCGCATCCCCCTCCCCATCCGCAGTTCGGGTGTGAACACTGGGCACTGGGGGGGGGGGGGGGGCTGCGGCGCTGAGCTGGGATTCCGCCCCGCGACTAGGGTTTCTTTGGGAGAACGTGAGAAATGGTGCTTCGGCCGGGAATGATGGATTAGCCCGGGGCGGGGGCGGGGAGGGGCGCCGGGGAATTAGGGCCGGTGCAGCTGTGCAGACGCCGGGTTAGTCACTCACGTCCCCCTCCCCCGGCCCCGGCCGCTGCCGCGACCCCGCGCTCCCGGCCGCCAGAGCAGCACAAAGCCGAGCGCGGTCCCCCCGCCCCGCCACCGCGTCCGCGTCCGCGTCCGCGCGCCCCCGGCAGGGCGCGGGGGGAAGCGCCGGCGGCGGGGAGCCCCACCGCCAGCCTCTAAGTAGTTTAGCACACAGCGCCGGGGACAGCCGCAGGCGGGCTGGCGGGACAGCCGGCTGGAAGGACGCGAGACGTGCGGCCACTCACCGTCGGCGCTGGGCTCCGTGCCCCACTCCCGCCGGGGGACGGTCGGGGACGCAGTGCGGGGGCTCATCGGGGCAGGGACGCTCCTCCCGGGCAGCCGAAGGGCTGCATTGGCTCAAGCAGGAGACGCTTCCTTCTCTTCCTCTCCCCCCGCCGCCGCCGTCGCCGCCTCCTGGGAAAAAGAAAAAAAAAAGAAGAAAAAAAAAAAAAAAAGTCCTGGGCAGCAGTTGCTGGAAAGTCTCTGTTAAGCCACCTCCCAGCGCCGCTGTCCCTCCCAAGTCCTCGCCAAGTCCGGACGAGGCAGCGGCGGCAGCCAGGGCCAGCTGCACAAACTCTCAGCGCATGCTCCGGCCGCTGGCTGCCCGGGCTGGGTCCGAGTGGGTGTTTCTTGTCCCTTCACCCGGCGTGAGCCCCCAAGGGACGCCTCACCTCGACAAGACACGGCCCAGAAAGAGAGAAAGCCTACGGACTTTGGGAAGTTCCGCTCAGTAAACCCCTTTAAAATGGTGGTGTCCGAGGAGGGGAGGCTCGGTTATAACCATAGGGAAACAGGCTTTTATTATATGAAAATATTTGTGTTTGGGAAGGGGGGGGAGGAGTGGCCCAACCCAATTCCTGCAATGAGAAACTAGTTTTCACAACCTTTCTGGAACCAACCCCTGTGATTTGTCACTAACGTGGTGCCCTATGATCCTTCTTACTGCTTTTTGTTGCCCTCCTGGTTTAAAAGAAGAAAAAAAAAAAAAAAAGAAGCAAAAACAAAAACTGTTCTTTCCATGCTGCACTGATAGAATTTATGTAAACACCAGAGTCAGCGTGTCCCACTCTGATACGCAGAATAGAAAGAAACATTTTTTTTAAACTCTCACAAGTAACCCAAAGTTTCCAAAATTTTCTCCCAATAAAGTTGTCTGAGTTTTAACTGGATGACTTAACTTAAATTGGGTACAGAGTAACAGGTCTTTAAATTTGTTTTTAAACTAGAAATTCAGGAAGTATTAAAGTAATAATAGTAGACTATCCCTCCAAAATTACCTTCCCTTTTCGAAGGAAGAAGTTTCACACTTAAAAAAAAAAAAAATCACTCAATCGGTCCCCATATAAAGTTTTGATGTTTTATGCTTCATGATAGTCCACATATCTATGATTACTTCTGTGCACATTGTGTGGCAAATTAAACTATACTAACAAATACAAAGTCCATGAAATACAAGCAACATCTTTGAGAAAACCTAATAATGGAAGCCCTCCTTAAATTTCTTTAGGGGAAAAAAGAAAATTGGAGTTCTGCAGTCGACTGCAGTCAGTCGCTGCATGACCAGAGTGACAATGAGACACACTCTCATTTGGGTAGAAGTAAAATCAAGACTGAAAGAGAACCCGAGAGTTCTGGGTTAGGATTAAGAGCAATCTTGGTAAACAAGTCACTAAGCTGAATGTAAGGCAGCAAGTACAAAATAATACCAAGATAGACTTCTGACACAAAAGACCAAGAAGAACCTGCAGTAATCCATCAGATGACTCTAACTCTGGCAATAAAGTATGTTCTGGAATCATGGAGAAGAGTAAAGAAACCTGTTTTATGTCTTCTATCAGTTTGTGCTCAAATTAGGCTGTACACCAGCTCTCAGCAGAGGAGTGCTGAGGAACCCGCCATCTGACCACTGTTGGTGCACACATTCCTCTGTGAGGGAGAACCATCACCATTTGAGGGGATTCTACGACTGCCATGAAAACTGACAAAAAGAGTGCAAAGGAATTCCCACTTCACTGAATAGAGCTCTCCTCTACTTAGAGAAAGCAGTTAAGTTGCCTTTTCAAAATTCAGAAACTTTAATAATGTATTTTATTTATTTATGTATTTGAAAGAGAGAGCATGACTGGCAAAGGGAGGAGAGAATCTCACGCAGACTAGGCACTGAGCTCAGAGCTCAATCTCATGATCCTGAGATCATGACCTGAGCTGAAATCAAGAGTTGGTTGCTCAACTGACTGAGCCACCAGGTGCCCCATAATTCGTAAACTTTTAAGGGCCCTAGATTAATACAATTTTTGAGGACAGTGCTTTAGAAATATGTATATCCCACTTCTTTTTAATAAGTAAGAAATGTAGAGCCAAGAGATGGTAGAGAAGTTGCTCAGTGTTCCATTTCTGGTTAAATCAGATTCCAGACCAAAATCCAGAATTCTAATTTCTTAGTATGCTAGCGCAGTGATTCTCAAAGTATCTGTACATTCCAGTCACTTGGAGAGCTTTGAAAAAATCCTAATACTTAAGCCATACCCCACACCAATTAAACCAGAATCTCTGCAGTTGTGGCCTACGCATCTAGATGTTTCCAAGTTCCCCAGTTACTTTTACTCTGTAGTGAAGTTTAGAAACCATTGCAACTAGCACTTTACAGATGCTGGAAAACCAGCAAAGGAGTCTCTTCAGACTTAGCTGGATCAAATCCCTCCCCTGGGAGCTGATAAATTGGAATTAATATCCTCATTTTACAAATTCGGAAGAACAGAGCTGCTATAATATTCCTGATAAATGGTCATCAGAGTCTGTGTCAACACTTCTGTGGAGGCGTCCTCACCACCTTGGAGGCACTGCAGCACCACGAGGTTCTGGTTGCTCAATCCTGCCCACCCCTCCTCCACTCATCTTCTCCCCTTCAACCGTCTTTCTGCCTTTTGGAGTCCCCAGCAAGAGCAGGCCACCCATCTGACAGCCCTTCAACTCCTTAAGGGGGCTGCCATTCCCTCCATCTCCATTTCTCTTCTTCCCCAGGATTATAGGAGCACGGAAAGATTCTCCGCGAGAATAACTTCTTTTGTGCACAAAAGGAAGATAGGAAAAAATAGGACATGACAATTTGAATATAGAGGAACACATTAGAAAGATCATGTCGTCTTTGCACATGCCCATGAGGTAAGTACCCAACTTTGGGGTCATGTAGGCTTCGTTATATACCTTTTCAGTGTGTGGCACCTACAGTGCCACATGCTAAAGATACTAAGAAAGAGATGGGCCTCGGGGTGCCTGGGTGGCTCAGTCAGTTAAGCATCTGCCTTCTGTTCAGGTCATGATCCGAGGTTCCTGGGATCAGCCCCACATAGGGCTCCTTAACTCAGTAGGGAGCCTGCTTCTCCCTCTCCCTCTGTCTGCTGTTCCCCCTGTTTGTGCTCTCTCTGTGTGAGTGTGTGTCAAGTAAATAAATTAAATCTTTGAAAAATTTTAAAAAGAAAGAGATGCGTCTCTATCATCCAGGAAAAGGAAAAACTATTCTTTTCAGTTTAGGTACTACTAAGAGCCACTATTTATGAGTAATCTCGTGTGTGCCAGTCCCTGAGTTAGGAGTAAAACTCAGCTATTCAAATACATAGATACATGCATACTACATACTTGAAAAATTAAAAGGAGTAAAGCTCAGCTATGCGGTAAGATGATACAAGGTTCTCACCCCACAAAGCAACTCATTTGTCCACATCGATTGCACTCACTCTGCTCAAGTTGTGCAGAGTGGAAGGAGGAGCATAGGGACTCGGAAGAATGAACTTCTCTGACCTCTTAGTGTAAGACTCACAAGTGCACCTCAGAGAGCTCTTTACAATCAATACAAGAAAGAGACTTGATATGTTTTAAGTAATATGTGTCTGACATAAATGGTGCTTCTCAAAATGTATCTTATTAATTCCTCCTAACTACATATGAGATGCCGAGACTCAGATGGTTGATTTCTCCAGCCCCATACAGGGAGTTAAATAAAGAAACTGAGATTTTAGGATCTGTCTGACTCTTTCCACAGTTAATCTGCTTTATAATAATATTTCAGATTGGGGGATGGATTCATTGACAAGTCTCATGAAGAAAAAGATTTTAGACATTTTTATCAGTTCTTGAGAATATGAGGCTGGATTCCATAAATACATATACTCAAGCTAGAATTGGTAACTCTACTTTCACCTTTTACCTCTGAAAGA